GGAGGAGAGGAGAGAAGGGGGGGGGCACGAGGCGATGGAACAATCGGTTCGCCTATTATCCATTAGCTCGTCTCTGCCAGTCTCTATCCGTCCGATCCGGAGACAGGGCACGTGCTCGCGGAACACGCTCCATGAATCTCACTCTCCGCGAAGAGTGCCACCAATGCACAGAGAATTAATTAAGCCGGGTAAACGCGGAGGAGCACGTAAGCAAACGAACCGTTTAGAGAGCGGTTTACCTAATTACTGAATCCGAATGGGTGAGAATCGGGTCGAGAACAGGTTGGAAAAGTATCTGGAATTGTGTCGCCGCCTAAGTGGTGGTAGGAAACCTCGTTTCTATGTTTCTATCTCGAATATATATATATATCGGGCGCAAAAGGAGAGCCGGGTAATTATTCGAAGTCGAAGTTACGAGTCGCTATCCAAGGACGTTCGAGATGGGGAGTGGGGCGGTAATTAACAGGAATAGAAATAAAGGATTTTTCGAATGGATGGTTTTCGCGGTTTCCATCGAGTCGGAGTTGCATAAGATTCGAAGCGAGGAGAGTTTTGGACGAGGCCGTGGATCGCAATTCGCATTTATAGACGGTGTGGCGGTCGCCGACTGCGACGCTAAGTTTCTGCCGGCTATTAAAAACAGGAACGATGAGGCGCAGGAAGTGTGGAAGGAGGCCGCCGGTGATGAAGGACGGAGGATGGGCGAAGTGGAATCGTTGCAAGTGGTGATGAGCCACGGAAGAGACGAGAGACACGCAGAGATAGACAGAGAGAGAGAGAGAGAGAAAGGGAAGAAAGCTAGCGGTAGTGGAAGGTAGAATTCCAGACTGGCGAGCCTGCCTGTTGCGAATAACTTCGGAAGTTCCACCGTGTATACCAACGTGTTTCTCTCTCGCCTCCCACTCTCGTCCCTCGCTCTCTCTCTCTCCTCCTCACTGCAAATCTACCTCCTCTCTTTTCGCCCTTCGACGCTCGATTCTACTTCTCCATCCTCCGCTCTCCGCCGCTTCCCGCCGCTCTTCATTTCCCCTTCACTCTCTCTCTCTCTCCTTTTCGCTCGTTTTTAACCCTCTGTACACGGATATGCACCTCTACCCGCCGCTCTCTCCGTCATCGCGCGTCCCACTCCTCGCGTTTCCACCCCCTCGGTCGGCTCCTTTTAACCCCTTATTACTTCCCCTCGCTTCACCACGATTCCACTGTCTCCGTTCCTTCTCTCCCCTCCACTCTCCTCCCCCGCTCGTCGGTGTCTCGTTTCGGCTTCCCCCGCGCGCCCCCTCTTTTTCCCCTCGGCCGCTTTGCCTTTTCCGGTTGTACGCCATCTGCATCCGAGTTACCTACGCGAGCCATCTCCGCCCTTCCACCGCTTTGCGCCGAGCATGTCTGTCCCACCGTCTTCATCTTTCCTCCCGCTAACAGCATCCAATCCACCCCCGAATTCGTTTCCTCCTCGCTTTGCAGGCGCTTCCCAGATAGCAGCGTCGCATCTGTCCGCGACGTGAAACGACGTTCGAACGGGGAATCGAGCGAACTTGGTTAATCGTCAGATGTTATAAAATTCGAACAGGCGATAAGTCTGAAATACGAAGGATCGAACGAGCAAGGTTCGATCGACGAATCGCGAGAGGAGAAGCCGTCGATAAAAAGGAAGCTGCGCACAATGCATCGAGGAAAATTGAATTTTTCGCGTAGTTTTCGCGAGACTCGTTAAAGTTCGCATCGCGTTGATCTTTTTTCTTTTTCTTTTTCGAAAATTTTCGAAAATAGCTGAAATTCGAATCTTTGAGCGAGATTGCCACGCGTGCGGGAGAATCTCATCGTGCGGGAAAAGTGGAGAAATAGCGCAAACGTTTAGATTTAATTTTCGCAGAGTTGTTAGAGAGAGATTTATAGCATAAAGTCGTAAAAATATATCCTAATCTAATCGTCGCGTTTATTTAATTCCCTTGATTTCGAACGAAAAAAATTCTCGAATATACGCCGTCAAATTGTCAAAATTAATTCTTTCCTTTCCTCGCTTTCGAAATTAGCGTTTGATCGGATTTAATTCCGCTCGGTTGTTTGTGACACGCGTGTCGCTAGACGGCCGAGTTAATTTCGTGGCGACCGCGAAAATAGACGGCCGTTGCAAATCAAACGGTCCCCGGCGCCCCTTCGCCGTCGATCGACGCCACGAGTTGAAAAACTCGCGTCCTCGCAATATCCGCGCCCACCTGTCCCTCCACCCTTCTATTAATAAAACTTCGCCGCCACGCGGGAAACCGCGACGAGTTTATTTCACCGCCGATCGTTCCATCCTCCTCCAACAATTTTACATTTTCAGAATGAAATCGTTCGCTCGCGAGCGTAAAAATTCTTTCGATCGTCGCGACCGAAGACCTCGACGAGGAGGAAGAGCTCGATGACGGCCGAAGGCCATCGAGAGATCGCTTCCAAAATTATTCTTGGAAACGCCAATTCTCGTTACTTACTAACTCTCGATTCGCCCGACTGATCTTTCTCTGGCCGAATAATGCAAATACTGTTCCCAAAGGAAGGAAGTTAGGTTTCGCGCCAAGTATTGAGAAGAGAATTCGAGAATCGAGGGTGCGGATGATCATTCGGGTGTATCGTTCGCTTAAACGGCTCGATTCCGTGAGAACGAATAGAGATAAATTGAATAACGACACGCTTGTTCCAACAGAGAGATTGCTTAGGCGCGGCTCGATTTAACGCCGATGAAACGAACTTCCATCAACTGACGCGAGTCTCTATCTGCCGAGAAAACGGCAAGAATTTCGGGCAGCTGATACATTTCTGAGAAAAGGGAGAAATAACGAGATTCCTCCGACCTTCGACGAAGGTCTCCATCGTTTTAATCCCGGAAGCCGGAAAAGCACTTAAGAGCGAACAAACGAAGAGTTATGGGGAGTCGTTGCTACTCGATCGAGTTGATCCGAGTTTAATCCTCGTCTTAGTTAACACCGTGGAAATGTCGCGGCGTATCCCGAGATCCTCTCCTTCCTTCTCTTCTCCCATTTGCACTTTTCCTCCTCCTCGGATTCCAAGAATCGCAACCTTCCGCGTACATCTCATCCCCTCCGATGGATGGAATTCTATTCTATTCTCGAGTAATTTCCAAGGAACGAGGCTTCCAATTTTTCAATTTTTCCTAAAAGTAAATCCTTCCGACTCGTCAGAAAGGATAGCGGCGCAAGGACCGACGACGCAACGTTAACTGCGCGCTTCTAAAAACGACGATTGCTACAGGACAGGGAGAGAGAGAGAGCGCTTTACATTCCACGGTTAAGTATCGCGGAGGTTTATTATTTTGATAACTAGCAGCGGAGATTGTTCGAAACGGTTCGCGACGAGAATTTACTTTAATCCGAGCCAAGATCCCGGTCCGAAAGGTCAGGGGTTAATTCGATAATTTCGATTAATTTTACGAGAAGAAGCTTATCCCCGAGGTAACGACTGCTCTCTCTCTCTCTCTCTCTCTCTCTCTCTCTCTCTCTCTCCTCCTCCTCCTCCTCCGTCGTCGTAGTAGTA